CTTCAATAGACATAATTTGTGCATGATAAACAATTAAAGATTCTTGATTATTAATATTTTTAGTTTCTTTTTCTATTTCAAAACATAAATCAATAATAAAAAAACGAATTGAATATAAAATATCGAAATCAGCTGTACGTAATGCACGATTTAATAATTTATATAAAAAACATTCATTTGTATACCATTGAATAGATTGTTGACCTCGATAATTTTGACGAAATAATTCAATATTATCTAATTCAGAACGATTTGTTCGATAATAATCTGAACATTTATTTAAAATTTCATCACGTAAAGTTTCATTTTGTGGCATTTGTTTAAGAATATCAAGTAACATATGATGCCAAAGTAATAAAGCTGATTCTTTTGTTAAATCTCTTGTTAATTTATGTTTTTGATCAAATAAGCTATAAACAAATGTTTGTTTTTCGATAAATTGAACTTTTTCTTGAATAGATTTAAATAAATCATTTTGATTCGTATATCTATCAATTATTTTAGGATGTTTAGTTTTAAATTCATTTATTTGTTGTTTATCATCATAAATAAAAATAGCAATAATTGCTTGTAAAGAATAAATATAATCGAAAATATTTGATAATAATATATTTGAAATAATTAAAAAAACTTGTTCATTAGATAATGTTTTTATAAAATCAATACATAATTGAACATTAGTATAAAATTGTGTAGCTGGATTTATTTTCAGTAAATTTGATTGTATATCAAATGTTGGTTCAATATTATTTAAATAAATAAAACGAATATTTTCTCTATTTGGCTTTATTTCAATTAAATGACATTTGGTATTTTTATTTATGTTCGCAGAAGACATCTCATTTAAGTTTCACAAAACGTCAATGTAGTATCATCTTGTCTTTCTTTTCTTTTTAAAATAAACCATGGTTTTGTTTTTCTTTTTATTCAGAAGAGAATCACGCACATGAACAGAAAAAGAAAAAAAAAAGAGAGGAAACAGCATCTTTTTTTTACACAGAAAATCTTTTAATTAGCGTCCTATAAGATGTTCAAAATAGGAGTGGTTATAAATCTTCTTTTTTTCCTAAGACAATATATAAACAAAAAAAAACTTATTCTATTTTGAAATTAAATATTAATTTATAAAAGTCGCACAATTCAATTAATTTTCTTTTTATATCAATTTAATATAATTCTTATTGAATAGATTATATAATTATTTTCTATTTTTACTAAATAAACTACAGTGTATAGATATTATCTTATTCATTTAAGAGAGACGTAAACAAGAAATAATTCTTAGTCAAAGAAAAATGTCCTTGAAAATGTCAGTATATCTAAAATATTAAAAAAAGTTCCAAGCTATGATTTCATTATATGTAAGGTTTAGACATTCACACTCAAAATTATATTGAAGACACAATAATTTTTCATTAGTTTTTCTTCATTTTTATCCAAATGAAATCATAGATTTAATAATAGACTATTAAGATCTTATTCAAATACATAAATTTTTAACGAAAGTGTATAGACTCAACATCCGATTTGTGAATAATGATATAAAAAAACAAAATAATGCATATGCGTGTCTCCGTCAACCAAGACTTGTATCTTAAAATTTTCTATTCAAAATATAATCTTGAGAGAGAAAGAAAATACTTCTTAGAAACTTAAAACTTATTCTTTGTTTCAAAATTTAATTAAAAAAAGAACATTAGATTTGTAGATCCGAATAATGTAATATTGTGTTAGATGTCATTGACAATATCGTGGCTATTCACTACAAACAGATAAATCTAATATAAAAAATAAAATCTTTAGACATAAACTTACTACTACACAAACTCACAAAAGAAAAACAACAAATTCTATCATTTATTTAGATGTATGATCTTTCAAGTCTATTTCTTTTATGATAAAATATTACAAAACCAAGAAACAGATATCAAAATTAGAACAGCAGTAAGTCTGGCTTTGAAAAGGAAATTCTTCTTGCGTACATACACAAGATATTAGACCAAGTATAATAGCAAGCATAGAGCGTGTATGAAGAGAACATTCACATCTAATAGATGGCAAAAAATAATCCTGTCGAGACTACAATATACAGGGTGGCGAGTATTTCCTGACTTCATAGAGATATTATCTGTTATTATTAATGACAAGAATGTATATTAATTATTTTATTATGAACTCAATCAAAGGATCGTATTTCTGTTCTTCAAGATTACAGTTCCGTGTGGTATGTTTAGATAGCGGAAACCGGTAGAGACGTGTCTCGACAAGTTCAACCAGATGAAGAATCATTGTTATCAATGCCGTCTATAGTGATCTGTCGTGATAGGAAGCGTTTACAGTGACACTTTCTTCATTAGATAGAATTTATCGAGATCAAATCGAGGCTAGAATAAATCGCATCGTTGGATTTTTGTACTCGAATTTTAACAATTTGACTATTTTTTTTTTGATCTACGTTAATCTAGACCACAGGAAATTACATGTGTGAATTTTATCTCAACATATTAAGCTCTGAGAAAAGTATACGATTTGATGGAAAATTTCATCAAATCGTAGCATATTGAGGCCTTTTATTCAGTGTGAAATGACACTTTGAAATTCAAACATTCGATTTTTCGACTTATACTTTATTATAAGCCAAAAAAATTAGTAAAATGGTTATAAATTGAGAGCGTATCTCTAATTCTATGTAATGAAGAAAGGTTCATCTCAAAAGTGTAACTTCATTCGGAAGAATTCATTTTTGAGGTTATCAGCAAATGAATAATGCTGGAAATTTTGAAACTTTATTTGATTAAAATCAAAGGGTTTAATTATCATTAGTTTACAATTTATTTTAGTGTATTTTTATCAAAATTCTAGTAAAAGTTATGCACATCAAAATATAAATAAAAATCTATGAAAATCGAATTTTTTCGTTGATTATAATTAATTTATAATCGAAATCATCAATTCAATTATTCTGCTACAACATCAACATTACAATCTGATTCTAATTTTCAAGAAAAAACGATTTTAATCGAACAAAGTTTTTACTAGAATTGCTTTCAAGTATGATTACTGACTTTAGTAAAGGAATGTAAAACTGCTATTGAGTATAAGAAATATACGTGTGAAGTGAAAACATATCTTTTCTTTTAAGATATTACAATATAGCAGAAAAAAATTTCATGAATGAACCTATCCATAAATATTTATAATCAATCAATAGATCATACTTGATAATTATTGACAAAATGAGAAGTTTCGGAAGAAAACATATGAGTACATATTATTATACTCGACTTTATTATGCACAAATCGGCAGATAGTCCGTGTCTATATATAAAGCGATGAATTTTGCTCTCAAAAAAAAAACCATGAACAATAAAAAATTCTTTTGCACAATTAACTTTTTCTTTTCACTATTTTCATCAAAACATTCTTTTTTCTGAATGACATTATAGGTAATTGGAGACATCATATTTGCATTCAAGCGTTATTTATTATAAACTCATTCTTACTTCTTTGTGATACTAATGCGTAAAAGAAAGTTGATTTCCTCCTGTTAATTATGTTATAATGGAAACAAGTGACTCGGCATCAATATAATAGACAAAGCTTTTACATCTAATACTTCAAAATTTATAAAAAAAAAAAAAAAGAGAAGTTTCAAAGAAGACATTCTTCGATTAGGATGAATAAAAATTTTTAAATATGTTGATAAGCTAACAACGACATATGCTATTCTTACTTTTTATGTTATATTCGTTTAGTTGACAGAGTAATTTGAACTTATTTTAAGAATTTCAAATCAATGTCGTAACGATCTCAATAATGCTAATCATTTACCTGTTTGTTTTTATTTTAATCCTATTGTGGATCATAGTTTTTCAAATATTATTATTTAATCACGAGAATATCTGTATAAATGATTAATTAATTGTCTATTATTTTCACAACATTTCTAGTCTACTCTTAGATTTGATTCGAATAGTTTATATTATATTTCAAGTAGTTTGCGAATTAAAACAGTTATAACTTGGATTATAACTATCAACTGTAGTCATAACTAGCAGTTAGTTTAACTTAATTAAATTTGTAATTTTTTGAGTAAATTAGATTAAGTTGAAATAGTTATCACTTTTATTTGATTAACATGTTTGATAGAACAAATGGAAAACAGATATACTGACAATGTCGTTACTTCAGAAAATCAGCATTTACGAAATCTCATCTACGTATTGTGTTTTATTTATTCATCTGCTAACAACATTTTCTCGTATTTATGTGTCGAGCGTGATTACATATGTAAGACAAGATGTTTTGCACTCTATGACCAATGACAATCGTGAAACTGTAAACAGCTGAGAAGAATATTTAAGAACTGAAACTACTCTCATGTAATTTACATTCTTTCTGGGATAGCAATCATCTTCAATATATGTTTGAACGTTTCAGTGAAAAATATTCTTAAGAAGATCATGATTATACGAGCCCGTCACTTTATCCAGGAAAATCCTATTAAAATTGAATGAAATTTGTAAATCAATTGAAAAAAATATTCTGCTCCACCGATTATTAATGATTATCTCAGTTGTAATCGGATTTTTATCAACAATCGATTTCTAATGTAACTACACAATCTCAATTTAAAACAATTTATATAATACTTTCAAATTTACTCTATTCATCGGATGATAACTTCATGGTCTTTAGAAACGAGCAATCCAAAAAAACAAAAATCATGAAAAATTAGATTAAAGTAAAATATATGAAGATTTTCACAATGACTATTGTAAAATAAAATTCACATTATAATCGATTTTAGTTCTTAAAATTTTTCACTAGGATAATTTAGATAATAATCTTACGAGAGAGAGAAACCATCCTAATAGATTCCAACTTCTTTCTTTGGTTTTAAGTAGGCATCAGCGAGACTAAGACAACACTAGAAGAGTCCATACTTATGGCCTATTAGTGAAGAATTATGATCGTTTTGCTAGATTTTTTACTCAGAGCAAGGTAATTCAAAAGAAAACCTAGAACAAAGAGTTTTGATCTAAAATTTTGTCAATAAATAGATCTATTAATCATTAGAAAGTTCTGAAAGTTTTAAAGAAGATGAATGTACCTTTCTCGAGATATTCAATCAACACTATTTTTTACTAATCTATTAGAACTATGTTGCTTTGAGTAAAAAATTCAGTAAAACCATGATTACTCTTCATTAATAGGCCATAATCATGGACGCTTCCGGGAGTTTTCTTAATCTCACTGAGATCTACTTAAGGTTAAAAAATGAAGCTGAAAGTTCAGAATTAGTTGGGGTGGCCTTCGTCGTTATTGAGAATAATTATATTTTTTTATGTCAGCACGATATCACTGTATGAGATTTTCCTGTTTACTCTTATATACCCATGACTATTTATATCAGCACGTATATTATTCTGTTGATTTCTTCGTTCTTTCTAGTTAATATCTTGACGAGTCGAGACAGTGAGAGAAAGAAACGAAAGAATAAAGAAAGGAAGACAGCAGGTCTAATGAAAAGAGCAGAAAATGCATTCATCAGTCAGAAGAAACAGATGAATGATGACAAGTTTATGCTCAGTTTAAACATATCTTATTAGTGGATATAGATTTGACTCATATTTGTAACTAATTTAAAATTATGAGCAACGTTGAAAAATAATATTTATTGATTATTTGAACGAAACAAATTTTAAATAAAGTTCATGATTTTATAACTATGGTCGAACGTTATATAACTGCAGTTGATAGTTATAACCATGCTTGACAACTATATATTTAGTTGATGATTATAAACATGGGAAATATTGATCGACTTATTCTATT